ACCCCCACCCCTGGCTCTAAGTTAGTACAGCCACGTTCAAAACAGAAAAGAACCTGTGGAGATGCCCCCCTCTGCAAACAGGGGCTCTGAAAATTTTCCAGGGTAACTGCAAAGGCAGGGATTTAAGATGTGTTTGACTCTAAAAGGAAAAACAGGTTGGGCATTAAAAAACTAAACTCTTAAATAGCTCAGCTTCCCAAAGAACAAGAGTTGCCATGGAGGTATAAGATGTTTCGATGAAAGACCCAACAGCCCAGCACCTGAACTCGGTTGGATCCTTTCCGCTTGTGGTCAAGCCCCAGAGGCGCAGGTAGAGCGAGTGGGGAGAGCTCCTAACTAGACCAGATTCCCACAGAAGCCCTGTGCGTGGGCTCCTGGCGCCCTCTGCTGGCCACCAGGCAGAGACAGATGGAAACAAGCAGCACAGCCTACTGCTCTGTTGTCCTACACAGAAGAGTCCAGAAGAAAAGAGAGACAAGTCAGAAGCAATCAAGCAAGACGCACAAAATGACCAGCTGGCCAGCCTCCTTGGGTTTCCTTCCTTGGACAGCTGCCTAGGACTATGTTCAGCAGGAGATCAGTAGCCGCTTCTCTATTCCTAATGCCAACGAACGAGGGGGAACCCAAGAAAACCACCTGAAGCTGTCCAGGCCTCGGCAAGCTGGCTCCCCAGGTGCGCTGGGAGCAGGTCGGCGATCCACTCCTCCCGATCGCCTGCCCCTATCCTGTCATCAAGGCGGGATCCTCATTCCAAGGGCCCCGGTCAGTAGGAAGCACTAGCTCTCCCCATGCCCTCGTCCTGAAAAGAACTGATACCTTTATTGAAGAACATGGAAGCCATCTGTCCCATTTCCACCCGGTTGGTGATTTCAAAAAGGTTTGGAGACCCACGTCTCTCTGTGGAGCCAAAGGACAAAGAAGAGGGAGGAGGTTGGTTTACTTGGCTTCCAGAGGGGGTTGCTGAGCTCATGGAATTCTCCAGAATGAAATCCCCAAGAGTTTCAAACTCTTGAGAAAACGTTTCCTAATGCTTCCTGTTCGAAACATCTAAAAACAGTCTCTAGACAGGGACTGCAGGGACGCTGGCTGTGGGGTGAGAAGGGAAGCCGGGACACTTAGGCTGGGCTCGGCCAGAGCAGGGTCAGGACTGTCAGGCATGCTCAGGTGCAAGTGTGCATGTGTGTGTGTGTGATGAGATGGGAGGAAGGAGAGAGCTTAGAGAGTCTACATTTACTTGAGCTCCAGGAGCTTCCAGGACGCACTGGGCACTGGCCCAGGTGTTCAATTATTTCCATAACAGCAGGAGAGGTGGGGAGCTGGGCTGCTGAGGTTAAGTAACCTGCCCAAGCTGCAAGCGTTAGTAAGTGCCGAGCCGGCAGGGGGAAGCCTGGGCCTGGGGCTCCAAAGCCCTGCTCTTCTTACTCTACCATGACGAGAAGGGCCCAGAGTCTCCACAGAGAGGCCCCCAGCCCTCTCCATGGGGAAAGAAACCCAGTGGGCCACAGGGAGGTGCAGGCTGGCCAGGACCCCAAGACTTACGCACAGACAGGATGGGCCGCTTCTCCGCTCGCTCGTAGTTGTCCTGGAGAAGACTGTCACTGTCGGAGGCTGTGGAGGAGTTGTCATCGTCTTCCTCCTAGGAGGGGTGGGACAGGGAGGAGGGGACAAGCAAGGAAAAAGGAGTATGTTACTACAGAGAGCCCCGCGACGGCGGAGAACCTGTTTTGTCTGTGATTTCTTCCTAGAAGGTATCTGAAGCTCTCAACATGTCCACATGTCCCATTAGAAGGCACAGACACTCGGACGTCAGGCCCAAGGCCGCAGCACAGTCCTAGGTGCAGAAGTTCAGGATGACNCTGGGAAGCTCTCAACATGTCCACATGTCCCATTAGAAGGCACAGACACTCGGACGTCAGGCCCAAGGCCGCAGCACAGTCCTAGGTGCAGAAGTTCAGGATGACTGAGCCAGCTCCAGGTGGGGAGGAGGGACCCAGGCGCGAAGTTAAAAGAGCAGAGGCTGCAGCTGCTCTGTGCACTTAGGGGGCCGTGAAGCTTCTGCTCTGGGACAGGGCCCCTGCTAGCGCTGTGGACACGGGTCCCCCGCACGTTGGGAGGGAGAGACCTGGCCGCTGCGGGCTGCCCTGCGGGACAGGAGTGGACGGAGGGCCTGCCCAGAGACACGGGCGCCTGTGCACCTGACGGCTCTCCATGCCCTTCCAGCGGAGCTGAGCGTTGGCCGCTGCCATGGCCTCCACGACGAAGGTGGTCGTCACAAAGCTGCAGGGGAAGGAAGGCCACGTGTCACTGCCGAGGCAGGCAGGAGAGTGGAGGAGGTACAAAGAAAAAGGAAAAGCCATTTCTAGACCTGACTGGACCAGCAAGCCCGCAGCGCTGTCCCTCCTGGGAGCTGTTTCCTAGGGTCTCTCACGAAGGGTCTGACCCGATCGCAAGTGTGTGTACACAGGATGCTTCGCGTGCTCACCTCATGCCCGCGTCTCAATGCATTTAGAAGGTATTCTGGATGCACAGGAGAGAGGCGACGCTGAGCCATGCAGTACTGCGCACCGAAAAGGGGCCTGTTGGGGGCAGAGGTGGCAGGACAGACCCCACCTGCTCTAAGTCCGGAAGAGGCTGATTCCCAAGGGGCCGCCGAGGCTCCGGGAAGGGCGCAGGCAGCCTTCACTCTCCTTGCTGGGACACCGACCGCGGTCAAGTCCCAGTGACACACACTAATGACGGGGGACAGGCATGGATAATTGAAAAGGAACACTTGGCCCCAGAACCTGTCCCCCGCCCCCCTTTCTCTTTGGCAGTATTTTTACTTTTCTAATAACCTGGCTAGTATTAAAATAAGCTTGCATTTTTATAGCCCGAATCAAAAGGGAGGTTGGGAGGTGGCACCAGACATTTGCTGAGAAGTCAGACTACAGTGACAAATCACCTTTTCTCTTCCTCATAAACTAGAGACCGAGAGGACAGCTGGAACGCACGGATGCTTCTGTCAGCTGAAGGCGGCAGGGAGGGCTGCCTCCTGCCACAGACCTGAGGGAGGGCTCTGTCCCCACTGCCACAGCCCGGGCTCTGCCCCGAGACCTGACCTCGGGCCCTCTGAGTGCCCAGTGCCGCCGCCTGCCCTAGGTGGACTGCTCAGCCCAGCAGTCAGGTGCGACAGGAGTTAAATCTGTATCTGCTCCATGGGGGGGGAGGGGGAGCCATATCTGAAACTCGCATTTCAGTCTCCCCAGCACCTCCCAGGACGGCTTCTCATTACCTTGCCTAAGTGACCATTTTAAGGGCTTTAGATTGTCCCTTCTTTTTTGGAAGTAAAACTAAAATCAATCTTAATTAAGGCATAAAGAGGCTTCTCCTGGCTGCACAGAGCCAACTCATTGATCATGTTCAAATATAAATGGGGTGAGCAAGGCGGGGGCATGGCGGCCCCTACCTGGGGCCTCCAGTAATCACTCCCCATTCTCGTGGCTGCCAGTGCTGAAGGTCCTTTAAAGGGGACAGCAGAGTCACACAAGGACGAGGACTTTTAGGAATCTTGGCTCACAGTACATAATTATAAGCCAACAGAACCCTAAGGCTGGCCCTCGAACCACCCAAAATAAAATGCATGAATGACCTGAAAAACACGGGTGTTCTCCTACCCCACCGAGCCTCTTCAAGGTCTTAGTTTTCTTCAGCTACTGAGATGTTTCATTCTTCCACTCCCTTCTCCTTCCTACCTGCTTAAATGCTGCCCTCCATGAGCCCTGAGCACCCACCTAAAACTGCGATCACCCCGCTTTCCCAATGCCTTCGCCCTGCTACACTGTGTGGGGTTTTGTTCCATTAGTATTATATCATCTAACTGACTCTGTGATTTCCTTATTTATTACCTTACCACTTAGTGTATGAATCCCCACTGAAGAAAGGAGAGTCCAGGGCAGGGCTCTCCGTTATTCAATGGGGTACCCCAGCACCTAGGAACACTGCCAGGCGCCACCTCTCTGGGGGTGTTTCCAGGTGTTCCCTCCCACCTGTTTTTTGTAGCTGGTGGATTCCTACCTGGTTGAGGGGGCTGGAAATGCTTAGTCCTAAATCCCCTACTAGTCTAGGGCACTGGCTAACTGGGAGACCTGCCTGTGGAAGACCTGGGAAGAGCCTCCAGTGGATCCCACACCTGGCTCCAGAAGCAGGACCCTGGAAGGCTGGGGGAGCGCTGGCCTCCTGTGTGCTGCCAGGTGCAAAGCAGGGGAGAGCAAGCCCTGATTAAGTGTGCACTATGTTTATCATTTATTCCGTGAACTATCTTCAGCAAATTCTAAATTCCAAACTGATCTCCCCTGTCACCTGCAACAACTGTCAGAGTCATTTTCTGTGGCTAGGTGGTGTTTTCTAAAAAATGTACATGAGGGGAGGTACACCAGCTGGGGAAGAAACATGAAGACCACATGAGACAGTCCAAAGCCTAACCGCACGTCTCGCTTTTCAGCCGATCAGGGCTGTGCAACGGCTCCGTCAGCATGAGACACTGGAGACCTTTGCATCCCTTCTCCTCTCCCCAGACCACCTTGTTTAGGGCTCACCACAGACATCTTCCTGCCCCCAAGCAAGGATGCTTCCTCACCTCCATAGGCTTCCTGGGCAGGCTGCCTCAGCTTCCCTCCGCCCCCAGCCCCTCACCTCATGAAGCCCAGGAACACCAGCAGGAACAGGCTGACAAGCCACCCAGCAGTGGCGAAGGCCTTGGGCATGGTGAGAGCGCCGGTGCCCACGATGAGGTTAAACATGTACACCAGTCCAACCTGGATTCAACAGAAGCGACAGTCAAGCCCCGACATTAATTCACCTCTCTCCACCTCGGCTCCCAAGCAGGACCCTGGGCAACAGCAAAACCGCGGCGGCCAGGAGGCCAGCCTTCCGACCGGGAGGCAGGGAAGGAGGGAGCATTCCATGCAGGTTCCCAGGGGGCCTGCTCTGCAACCAGATGTTGGGGCCAGACACTGACGCCTTGAACTGAAGTCCACATCCCATCCATCTTTTCAAATGTCTCCGAGGATCAGTTTATTCTCCATTTTTGCTGTTGTCATTCCCGCCTCTTGTCACTTCATATTATTCAAAGCTGTGTCATGGATGTTAGCCCTCTGCCCAACCAGACCGTGGGCTTCCTGAGGACACAGTGTCATAGTGGTCTTCCATCTTTCCTATCGCGGGCATGTGGCCAGTCCTCCTCTCCACCCATTCTTGCCACTGCCCTTTGAGATGCTGACATTCCTGCTGCTTCCTTCTCCATGTCTCCTCCCCAGACTAACCTCAGGGATTTAAAAAGTGGAGCTAGAGCCTGGCTGGCGGGGCTCAGCATCGACCTAGGATCCAGGAGGTCGCAGTTCAATTCCCAGCTGGGGCACATGCCTGGGTTGCGGGTTCGATCCCCAGTAGGAGGCGTGCAGGAGGCAGCCAATCAATGTCTCTCTCATCATCAATGTTTCTATCTCTCTCCCTCTCCTTTTCTCTCTCTGAAATTAAAAAAAAAAAAAAAAGTTGAGCAAAATTCACATGCCATGAGTGTTACCCTTTTTTTTTTAAATCCTCACGCAGGGATATTTTTTTCCATTGCTTTCTCAGAGACAGTGGAAGGGAGAGAGAGGGAAAGAAACATCGATGTGAGAGAGACACACCGAGTGGTTGCCTCCTGCTCGGGCCTAGACCAGGGCTGAGCCTGCAACAGAGGTACGTGCCCTTGGCTGGAATCGAACCAGGGAGCCTTCAGTCCACGGGCCGACGCTCCAATCAACTGAACCAAACCGGCCAGGGTGAAGTTCACCCTTTTAAAGTGGTTTTTAGTATATTTATGAGGTTGTGCAACCAGCACCACTATCTAATTCCACCTCTCACCCCAAAAAGCAGTTCTGCACCCACCTGTAGCTGCTCCCCATTCCTCCTAGCCCCCGGCAACCACCCCTGGGGATGTAAAGTACAGCAGATGGAATACAGTCAGTAATATTGTATGGTGCCAGGTGGGCACTGGAATTATCAGGGGGGACACTTTAGAGTATATGATTGTCTAACCATGATGCTGTACACCTGAAACTAATACAAAATAATACTGAATGTAAACTCCAATTAAAAATAATTTTTTTAAGTAACTAAAACTAAAAAAATTAGAAAAACACAAATTGGAGCCTATTCTTCCAGCCTCGTCCAGATTTGTAAGGAAAAAAACGGAGACAGGGAGCACCCACTACCATTTTGGGGTCCCTGGCAGGTAGGAAGGAGGGGTAGGGCAGTGGTTTAGGGACAGGCTTCCGGGCAGGTGCTGACTGAACACCAGAGTTCTGGACAAACGGGAGGACACCCTCTAGAGAGGAAAGAGCTCTGCCCACTGTCCACTCACACTTGGCGCAAGGCACCAAGCCCTCTGAGCCTCCTGCCCAGCCCCTCGATTCCCACCCAGCATCTGGGGCCCATTCAAATGCTGCCTTCACCACAGAGCCCTTCCCAGTCTCCCACATTTGTCTCACTCCCCAGTTCTGAGCCCTGGAGCAAGGACGCTTATGCCCTAGCTTGGGTTCCCATGTTGGTGTATTTGTCTGTTCCCCATCACCAAGTGTGAGGCTCACTGTGACCCATGTCTCATTTCTCCCTGTGCTCGGGCCGGGCACACAGACCCAAGACAGAAATCTGCGGCGGGGCTGCCTGGACCTCGCTCCAGTTCCCAGACCCACGTCTGGCAGTCTTTACGGGTTTTAAACATCATTATCTCAATCTGATCTTACAGACAGATCCCAGAAGGATTAAAACAAGCCTGGCTCCTCTTCCTATAGCACCTGATTGGACCGCAACACTACTGTGATGTGACACCCCCGCCAGGAGTCCTGGTCCTGGGTAGTCTTGAAAGAATCAACATGAGGGTGACAGCTGGGGGAGAAACAGGACACACAGCTCACCCTGACTATCTCAACGGGAAGTTCCCAGAGCTGGCTTTTCACAAGTACCTCTGAGTATCTCTGACAAACTAATTTCTTCTTTTATGGGCTGATTTCAGTCACTGTGAGGCTGGTATATCCGAGTGCCGGAATGAGTCCTGTACCCTCGTTCTGCTTATGAGCTCAATTCTGCTCATTCACTTGTTTATCCAGCAACTTCCAAGAGCCTTCCCTGGGTCTGGCTCTGTGCTGGGAGCTGGGGATGTGACACTGAGCAAGACAGACATGGCCCTGGACCTCATGCGGGGGGGAGAGGCAACAGGAAAACGATGACCGCTTCACACAAGGAAAGCAGCGGGGCGCTGTGACAGAGAATAACGGACACTCAGGAAGGACTTCTGACATTTAAACCGGGACCTGAAGGATGAGATGCAGCTGCCCAGGCACAGAGCCAGGGAAGGAACCTCCAGGTAAAGGCCTGGGGTGGGAAGCGAGGTGCGGCGAGGAGCCGACGCGGGTGTGGCTGAAGCACAGCCAGCGGGCAGCGGAACTGCGTGGGGCCCTGGTGCGTGGGGCGCGGAGCTGAATGTTTCACAGGGTTCTGAGCAGGACACTAACAGACCAGCCCCTGTTGATGGCCTCACACTTGGTCTCCCTGAAGCTTTGTTCTCTGTGTATCGCTTTTATAAGAAGCAACCCTTGCCCTGGCAGGGGCGGCTCAGTTGGTTGGACCGTCACCCCCTACGCCAAAAGGTGGGGGGCTCGGTTCCCGGTCAGGGCACATACTCAGGTTGTGACTTCCATCCTCAGTCAGGGAAGGTGTGGGAGGCAACCTACTGATGTGTCTCTCTCACAGTGATGTTTCTCCCCCTGCCCAGCACTCTCTCTAAAAATCAATGGAAAAAATATCCTTGGGTGGGGGTTAAAAAAAAAAGAACTTTCACCTTCCCGGCAAGAGTCAAATCCTCCTTACCCTCAGGAATGGTGACAGTAAGGACCAGTTGCTAGGAGCAGACTATGAGGCAGGAAGCAAATCAGAGCTGAGCCACAGGTCAGGTGGAAGGCAGGTGTGGAGGGGGAGGAGGAAGGGGGACAGTTGTGTGGGGACAGCCTCCTGAGAAGGGTGGCGGAAAGCTGAGGAACAGAGCCCCACAGCCGCCTCGGTTCAGGCCAGCCCGAGCTTCCTCCCATCCCTGGCTTGCTCTGCGCTGCGCCGCAGGCGGCACAGGACCTGCTCCCCTCTGCTCCAGAGCTCGGGGCAGCGGTCCAGCTGCCTCGCCCCCCGCCCGGTGGCGTGCATGCAGCAGGGTCACGGGTGTCAACAGCTTCCCCAGTGACCGTTGTCAAAGGAAACAGAAGGCAGCAGAGATGCAGAAGCAACGAGTAGTCCTTGCGGTTGTGAGACAAGCGCCCTTTCCTTCGAAAGCAACAGCGACGGTGTTTGGCAAGAAGACGAGACGGCTGGCAGAAGGAAGCCCTGCGCAGGTTGCAATCCGTTTTATCCTGTTTTGATCACAGTCCATTCAGCCCTGAGCCATTCCCGGTGCCCGTAAGTGGGGAAACCAACATGCCTGTTTTGAGATCACACATGGGAGGGCACACGAGCCTGAATCATGTTCCCGTGTCCAGAACTATCCTTGAGAGGGCTGCCTGCCTGTTACATATTTTATGCAAAATAACGCAAGCTAAAACAAACATTCCAACACCCAGGAAGGGAAAAGCACTCCTAACAGGGCACACAGAGGTAGGGAGAGGTTCAATGCTGGGAATGACCAAGTATGGCACACCGGTGAGCTGTGTAAGTGCCCAATACCTCAGTCTCGGTCTCCCAAAGCAGCCCGAGTGGGTTCTGTCCACACTGTGCTGAACAGGGGAATTCAAGGCAGCATCCACTGTAAAGCCAGTTCCACGGCCTATCTGGGCTCAGAGGATCATGAACCTTACACCCTCCTGTCAGGTTTGTTATCCACTGAGCCTGATCTTGCTCTCACAGGGGATGAAGAACTACTCTCCCAGGATGGCGGGCTTAAGGAAAGTTCAGGAAGAAGGCATGTTCTCTCTTTGTACCCTGGCTACTAACTCCTGGTCAGTGGCCGCCTCACCCTCAACACCACCCATCTTTCCCTACTTATACACATAGCTGTTTATGAGACATGCCCAGAGTAGGCCCTCAAAAAACCCCAAACACAGAGGAAAGAGAGGAGAAAATTTTTTTAAAAAAAGCAGAACCCACTGAGGCTTTTAGGGTTCGCTGCCCAATTTCCTGTGGGCACACGCTGACGTGTGAAATGATTACATGCTGAACAAGAAAAGTGGGCATATCGAAATTTTCTCCTTCCCCAAACTCAGTCACAGAAATGACTCAATGCTAAGCTTTCAGATGTTCTGAGAAGCAGCAGGAACCCTGGTGACTTCTATGGACAGTGTGGACATTTCCCTGCTGATATCACGAGGAGGCTGTGTGCTGTTACACAATTCCCCAGGTGAGAGGGACGGAGTCAGTTCATTCCAAGGTTCAAGAAAGGCTCCCCCTGGTATGTCACTGAGGTGAAGGAGGCTCCTTCCTTTGGTGCCACACACAGATGGCACATGCCCGGCAGGAAGACTCGGCTGTGAGGGCTTTTTCCAGCTGTTCTCAGAGGTGCTTTCTTACCCATCACATCACAGCTCTGGAGGCTGGGAAGCTAGCGAAACAGAGCAGGGACCCCAGGCTAGGAAGGTAGGTGCAAAGCAGGGCAGCTGTTTAAGACAGGTAAGTTCTAGAAAGACGACTCTTGCTACTTAAGACAGTGCTGCTTTCCCTGGGACACCTGGTAGCAATGTGAGTCAATCATTTGATGATTCCCATCCTCCAGCTACTTATCCGGGCAGGAGGACCCCATGATGTAAACATGACAATCTCATATTACACAAAGAAGACACACTGAGTTTGTGTGCATGTGTGTGGGGGAGGGCACAACAGCACCCCAAGACAGGGAGAAATCAATCCTTCTAGTTGTTCTAATTACAGACTCCACCAAACTGCAACTGGAAGTGTCTGCGTGCTCTCTCTGCCTCTTATGCGACCCAAGACTATAAAAGTTGTGCAACTTAAAATTCAGCTAAAAGCCCAAGTGGTTTCAAACTGCTGAGATGAGCAAAACCTGGAGTCAACAGCTGTCAATCGCTGTCCATTTGGAGGGCAGGCAGCACAGTGCGCAGGCGGCAGCAGCCCGCAGGCAAACATCACAAAGAGTTGGCAAGTCAATTTTGTTTTCCTGACCACTGTCTGATCCACATCTAAACAGTGAACAAACCTGAGTCTCATAACACATTCTGAGCCAGCACAGCAGCGGCACAGCTGCTGATGAATCAAGGTCCCCCACCCCGGCTCTCCCCAGGGTCTGGGCCAGCGGCAGCAGCAGTGTACAGTCCACAGGGAGCAGAGTGCTTCTCTAGAAGCCAGGAGCACGGGTGAGGGCAAAACAGGTTCTAAAAGTAAGACTCACGTAGGGAGAATAGAGCTCCCCGGTCTCTGTGATTTCACCAGCCATTTCCAAAGGTGGGGAAGGGGCCGCTGGCGGAGCTTTCTTCCTGGTGGGGGCGGCGGCTGCTGCGGCTCCCTAAGGCAAAAGAGCAGACTTCAGCTTTCTGATGGGCCTAGATGGAGGTGGCGGCAGGTCTGCAGATCCCCCTCCCCCTGGGCTTTTATCACAGACACTTACGGTCTCAACATATGTCACAAGCCAGCCGGGAGGACAGGGTCTCCCGGGATGACTCCCACCCGGCCGGTTTCTTTTTCCTCGCTGTGCAGGGCATGAGCGCATTCAATACCGCTCAGACTCCAGGTGATATAAGGGGCCTTCGAAGCCACTGTCTCACCCACCACAAGCCTTCCCTTTACGCACCCCGGGGTGACAATCCCCATTTGATGCAGGAACAGCGAGCTCACTACCGCACAGGGCAGCGCAAGCAACTGTCCGCCTCCTCCGCCCAGTGCAAGGGGCGGGGGCTTTCCTAGGTCGCCCTCCAACCCAACTTCTTGGCCCAAAGCCTCTCCTTTTTAATGAGGCCCCCACTTCCTGGCCCCTTAACCCGCTTTCTGCTCTGCCTTAGGACTCCCCACCCTCAAGCTTCCCCTTCTTCTCAGGAGCCCCCGCCCCGAGCCTTTTCCCGATTTCTTCCTCCCTCCTGGAGGAGCCTGGAATCTGGCAGCGCCGCAGCGCACCCCAGCGCACCCCACCCTCGCGCGCCCCCTCACCTGCGGCGTAGCGCGCTCGGGGACNCATCTTTTCAAATGTCTCCGAGGATCAGTTTATTCTCCATTTTTGCTGTTGTCATTCCCGCCTCTTGTCACTTCATATTATTCAAAGCTGTGTCATGGATGTTAGCCCTCTGCCCAACCAGACCGTGGGCTTCCTGAGGACACAGTGTCATAGTGGTCTTCCATCTTTCCTATCGCGGGCATGTGGCCAGTCCTCCTCTCCACCCATTCTTGCCACTGCCCTTTGAGATGCTGACATTCCTGCTGCTTCCTTCTCCATGTCTCCTCCCCAGACTAACCTCAGGGATTTAAAAAGTGGAGCCAGAGCCTGGCTGGCGGGGCTCAGCATCGACCTAGGATCCAGGAGGTCACAGTTCAATTCCCAGCTGGGGCACATGCCTGGGTTGCGGGTTCGATCCCCAGTAGGAGGCGTGCAGGAGGCAGCCAATCAATGTCTCTCTCATCATCAATGTTTCTATCTCTCTCCCTCTCCTTTTCTCTCTCTGAAATTAAAAAAAAAAAAAAAAGTTGAGCAAAATTCACATGCCATGAGTGTTACCCTTTTTTTTTTAAATCCTCACGCAGGGATATTTTTTTCCATTGCTTTCTCAGAGACAGTGGAAGGGAGAGAGAGGGAAAGAAACATCGATGTGAGAGAGACACACCGAGTGGTTGCCTCCTGCTCGGGCCTAGACCAGGGCTGAGCCTGCAACAGAGGTACGTGCCCTTGGCTGGAATCGAACCAGGGAGCCTTCAGTCCACGGGCCGACGCTCCAATCAACTGAACCAAACCGGCCAGGGTGAAGTTCACCCTTTTAAAGTGGTTTTTAGTATATTTATGAGGTTGTGCAACCAGCACCACTATCTAATTCCACCTCTCACCCCAAAAAGCAGTTCTGCACCCACCTGTAGCTGCTCCCCATTCCTCCTAGCCCCCGGCAACCACCCCTGGGGATGTAAAGTACAGCAGATGGAATACAGTCAGTAATATTGTATGGTGCCAGGTGGGCACTGGAATTATCAGGGGGGACACTTTAGAGTATATGATTGTCTAACCATGATGCTGTACACCTGAAACTAATACAAAATAATACTGAATGTAAACTCCAATTAAAAATAATTTTTTTAAGTAACTAAAACTAAAAAAATTAGAAAAACACAAATTGGAGCCTATTCTTCCAGCCTCGTCCAGATTTGTAAGGAAAAAAACGGAGACAGGGAGCACCCACTACCATTTTGGGGTCCCTGGCAGGTAGGAAGGAGGGGTAGGGCAGTGGTTTAGGGACAGGCTTCCGGGCAGGTGCTGACTGAACACCAGAGTTCTGGACAAACGGGAGGACACCCTCTAGAGAGGAAAGAGCTCTGCCCACTGTCCACTCACACTTGGCGCAAGGCACCAAGCCCTCTGAGCCTCCTGCCCAGCCCCTCGATTCCCACCCAGCATCTGGGGCCCATTCAAATGCTGCCTTCACCACAGAGCCCTTCCCAGTCTCCCACATTTGTCTCACTCCCCAGTTCTGAGCCCTGGAGCAAGGACGCTTATGCCCTAGCTTGGGTTCCCATGTTGGTGTATTTGTCTGTTCCCCATCACCAAGTGTGAGGCTCACTGTGACCCATGTCTCATTTCTCCCTGTGCTCAGGCCGGGCACACAGACCCAAGACAGAAATCTGCGGCGGGGCTGCCTGGACCTCGCTCCAGTTCCCAGACCCACGTCTGGCAGTCTTTACGGGTTTTAAACATCATTATCTCAATCTGATCTTACAGACAGATCCCAGAAGGATTAAAACAAGCCTGGCTCCTCTTCCTATAGCACCTGATTGGACCGCAACACTACTGTGATGTGACACCCCCGCCAGGAGTCCTGGTCCTGGGTAGTCTTGAAAGAATCAACATGAGGGTGACAGCTGGGGGAGAAACAGGACACACAGCTCACCCTGACTATCTCAACGGGAAGTTCCCAGAGCTGGCTTTTCACAAGTACCTCTGAGTATCTCTGACAAACTAATTTCTTCTTTTATGGGCTGATTTCAGTCACTGTGAGGCTGGTATATCCGAGTGCCGGAATGAGTCCTGTACCCTCGTTCTGCTTATGAGCTCAATTCTGCTCATTCACTTGTTTATCCAGCAACTTCCAAGAGCCTTCCCTGGGTCTGGCTCTGTGCTGGGAGCTGGGGATGTGACACTGAGCAAGACAGACATGGCCCTGGACCTCATGCGGGGGGGAGAGGCAACAGGAAAACGATGACCGCTTCACACAAGGAAAGCAGCGGGGCGCTGTGACAGAGAATAACGGACACTCAGGAAGGACTTCTGACATTTAAACCGGGACCTGAAGGATGAGATGCAGCTGCCCAGGCACAGAGCCAGGGAAGGAACCTCCAGGTAAAGGCCTGGGGTGGGAAGCGAGGTGCGGCGAGGAGCCGACGCGGGTGTGGCTGAAGCACAGCCAGCGGGCAGCGGAACTGCGTGGGGCCCTGGTGCGTGGGGCGCGGAGCTGAATGTTTCACAGGGTTCTGAGCAGGACACTAACAGACCAGCCCCTGTTGATGGCCTCACACTTGGTCTCCCTGAAGCTTTGTTCTCTGTGTATCGCTTTTATAAGAAGCAACCCTTGCCCTGGCAGGGGCGGCTCAGTTGGTTGGACCGTCACCCCCTACGCCAAAAGGTGGGGGGCTCGGTTTCCGGTCAGGGCACATACTCAGGTTGTGACTTCCATCCTCAGTCGGGGAAGGTGTGGGAGGCAACCTACTGATGTGTCTCTCTCACAGTGATGTTTCTCCCCCTGCCCAGCACTCTCTCTAAAAATCAATGGAAAAAATATCCTTGGGTGGGGGTTAAAAAAAAAAAGAACTTTCACCTTCCCGGCAAGAGTCAAATCCTCCTTACCCTCAGGAATGGTGACAGTAAGGACCAGTTGCTAGGAGCAGACTATGAGGCAGGAAGCAAATCAGAGCTGAGCCACAGGTCAGGTGGAAGGCAGGTGTGGAGGGGGAGGAGGAAGGGGGACAGTTGTGTGGGGACAGCCTCCTGAGAAGGGTGGCGGAAAGCTGAGGAACAGAGCCCCACAGCCGCCTCGGTTCAGGCCAGCCCGAGCTTCCTCCCATCCCTGGCTTGCTCTGCGCTGCGCCGCAGGCGGCACAGGACCTGCTCCCCTCTGCTCCAGAGCTCGGGGCAGCGGTCCAGCTGCCTCGCCCCCCGCCCGGTGGCGTGCATGCAGCAGGGTCACGGGTGTCAACAGCTTCCCCAGTGACCGTTGTCAAAGGAAACAGAAGGCAGCAGAGATGCAGAAGCAACGAGTAGTCCTTGCGGTTGTGAGACAAGCGCCCTTTCCTTCGAAAGCAACAGCGACGGTGTTTGGCAAGAAGACGAGACGGCTGGCAGAAGGAAGCCCTGCGCAGGTTGCAATCCGTTTTATCCTGTTTTGATCACAGTCCATTCAGCCCTGAGCCATTCCCGGTGCCCGTAAGTGGGGAAACCAACATGCCTGTTTTGAGATCACACATGGGAGGGCACACGAGCCTGAATCATGTTCCCGTGTCCAGAACTATCCTTGAGAGGGCTGCCTGCCTGTTACATATTTTATGCAAAATAACGCAAGCTAAAACAAACATTCCAACACCCAGGAAGGGAAAAGCACTCCTAACAGGGCACACAGAGGTAGGGAGAGGTTCAATGCTGGGAATGACCAAGTATGGCACACCGGTGAGCTGTGTAAGTGCCCAATACCTCAGTCTCGGTCTCCCAAAGCAGCCCGAGTGGGTTCTGTCCACACTGTGCTGAACAGGGGAATTCAAGGCAGCATCCACTGTAAAGCCAGTTCCACGGCCTATCTGGGCTCAGAGGATCATGAACCTTACACCCTCCTGTCAGGTTTGTTATCCACTGAGCCTGATCTTGCTCTCACAGGGGATGAAGAACTACTCTCCCAGGATGGCGGGCTTAAGGAAAGTTCAGGAAGAAGGCATGTTCTCTCTTTGTACCCTGGCTACTAACTCCTGGTCAGTGGCCGCCTCACCCTCAACACCACCCATCTTTCCCTACTTATACACATAGCTGTTTATGAGACATGCCCAGAGTAGGCCCTCAAAAAACCCCAAACACAGAGGAAAGAGAGGAGAAAATTTTTTTAAAAAAAGCAGAACCCACTGAGGCTTTTAGGGTTCGCTGCCCAATTTCCTGTGGGCACACGCTGACGTGTGAAATGATTACATGCTGAACAAGAAAAGTGGGCATATCGAAATTTTCTCCTTCCCCAAACTCAGTCACAGAAATGACTCAATGCTAAGCTTTCAGATGTTCTGAGAAGCAGCAGGAACCCTGGTGACTTCTATGGACAGTGTGGACATTTCCCTGCTGATATCACGAGGAGGCTGTGTGCTGTTACACAATTCCCCAGGTGAGAGGGACGGAGTCAGTTCATTCCAAGGTTCAAGAAAGGCTCCCCCTGGTATGTCACTGAGGTGAAGGAGGCTCCTTCCTTTGGTGCCACACACAGATGGCACATGCCCGGCAGGAAGACTCGGCTGTGAGGGCTTTTTCCAGCTGTTCTCAGAGGTGCTTTCTTACCCATCACATCACAGCTCTGGAGGCTGGGAAGCTAGCGAAACAGAGCAGGGACCCCAGGCTAGGAAGGTAGGTGCAAAGCAGGGCAGCTGTTTAAGACAGGTAAGTTCTAGAAAGACGACTCTTGCTACTTAAGACAGTGCTGCTTTCCCTGGGACACCTGGTAGCAATGTGAGTCAATCATTTGATGATTCCCATCCTCCAGCTACTTATCCGGGCAGGAGGACCCCATGATGTAAACATGACAATCTCATATTACACAAAGAAGACACACTGAGTTTGTGTGCATGTGTGTGGGGGAGGGCACAACAGCACCCCAAGACAGGGAGAAATCAATCCTTCTAGTTGTTCTAATTACAGACTCCACCAAACTGCAACTGGAAGTGTCTGCGTGCTCTCTCTGCCTCTTATGCGACCCAAGACTATAAAAGTTGTGCAACTTAAAATTCAGCTAAAAGCCCAAGTGGTTTCAAACTGCTGAGATGAGCAAAACCTGGAGTCAACAGCTGTCAATCGCTGTCCATTTGGAGGGCAGGCAGCACAGTGCGCAGGCGGCAGCAGCCCGCAGGCAAACATCACAAAGAGTTGGCAAGTCAATTTTGTTTTCCTGACCACTGTCTGATCCACATCTAAACAGTGAACAAACCTGAGTCTCATAACACATTCTGAGCCAGCACAG